GACCAAAGACATTTTTTTAAAAAAAATTTTTTTTAACGTTTATTTATTTTTGAGACAAAGAGAGACAGAGCACGAATGGGGGAGGGTCAGAGAGAGGGAGACACAGAATCTGAAACAGGCTCCAGGCTCTGAGCTGTCAGCACAGAGCCTGACGCGGGGCTCGAACTCGCAGACCGCGAAGTCATGACCCGAGCCGAAGTTGGCCGCTTAACGGACTGAGCCACCCAGGCGCCCCCCAAAGACAATTTTTTAATCCTTACCCTGAGCTCCTCCTAAGACTCAAGACACAGCCTGCTAATTAATGAATGTTTTCAATAATAGTTTGCAAAGACTAGAAGTGGCTGTTTTATCAATGGCCAATTTTTAACAAAAAAGTACAAGGCATTTACAAAGAAAGAGGAAAACTAGCTCATTCAGAGGAACAAATTAAATCTTCTAAAGAAACACAGGCATAGGACTTACTAGACAAAGAGTTTAAAACAACTATCTTAAAGAGCTAAATGGAAACATGGACAAAGATCTAAAGGAAATCAGGAAAACAACATATAAACAAAATTAAAATATTAGCAAAGAGATTGAAATTATGTATATATAAAAAGAACAAAGTAGAAACTCTGAACCTGAAAAATATAATAACTGAAATGAAAAAAAAAAGTCACTAGAAAGAGTCATCATATTTGGGCAGCAAACTTGAAGACAGATCTGAGGAGCAAGAAACCAAAAGACTGAAACAAAGGAAAATGAACATAGCTTAAGGAACTCATGGAACATATTAAATAGACCAATATACACATTGTAGGAATACAAAAGAAGAGAGAGAAAAGGACAAAGCTATTTGAAGAAATAATGACTGAAATAATAATGTCCCAAATTCAAAGGAAAGACATTAATATGCAAATACAGGAAGCTTAACAAACACCAGGCAGGGTAAACCCAAAGAAACTCACACTGAGACAGGTTATCAAACTGGAGAAAGCCTAAGACAGATCTTGAAAGCAGCAAGAGAAAAATGACCTGTAGTGTACAAGAGATTCCCCAGTAAGATTATTAGCAGATTCTCAACAGAAACCTTACAAGCCAGGAGGCAGTAGAATGATATGTTTAAAGTGCCAAAAGAAAAGAACATCAACAAAGAATTCTGTATCAGCCAAAACTGTCCTTCAAAACTGAGGGAGAAACTAAAACATTCCCAAACAGAAGCTTAGTTTATTACCACTCGACCTTCCCTAAAAGAAATGCTGAGAGACTTTCAAGTTCAAATTAAAGGACTCTAACAGTGACTCAAAACCATATAAAAATATAAGATTCTCCAGTGCTAGTAAGTACAGGGACAAATATAAAAAACCAGTCTTACTATTATTTTGGTTTATAAATCTTTTTATTTTTTATTTAATGAAACTTTCACAGTGTGTTTTTAAGTTTATTTATTTATTTGAGAGGTGAGTAGGGGCAGAGAGAGTCCCAAGCAGGCTCCACACTGTCAGCACAGAGCTCAACATAGCACTCAAACTCATGAACCATGAGATTATTACCTGAGCCAAAATCAAGAGTTGGACACTTAACTGACTGAGAGCCACCAAGGCACCCCTATTTTTTTTTTTTAATTTAAAAGACCAATGCAGGGGCATCTGGCTGGCTTAGTTGCTAGAGCATGCAATCTTGATATTGAGGTTGTGGGTTCAAGCCCCATGCTGGGTGTTGAGATGACCTAAAAATAAAATCTTTTAAAAACATAAAATACAAATGCATGAAAATAAATATAAGTCTGTGTTAATGAATAATGAATATAAAGATTTAATTTTTGATATCAAGCACAAAAGTGGGGACAAAGCTGCAAAGGAGAGTTTTTTAATGCAATTGAAGTTAAGTTGGTATCAGTTTAAGGTAGATTGTTATAACTTTTGGATGTTATATGTAATCTTCATAAAGAAAATATCTATAAAATATACACAAACGGAAATGAGAAAGGAATCAAAATGTGTCACTAAAAAATCACATAACACAAAGGAAGGCAGTAATGGAGGAAATGAGGGACAAAATAGCCATGAGACATACAGAAAACAAAATAGCAAAAGTAAATCCTTCCCTGTCATTAATACATTTAAATGTAAATGGACTAAACTTTCCAATCAAAAGATACAGATTGGCAGGATAAATTAAAAACAACAACATGCGGCATGCCAACTTACACTGTCTGTAAGACATTCACTTTAGGTTTAAGGACATGCATGAGTTAAAAGTGAAAGGATGAAAAAAGATATTTCATCCAAATAGTAACCAAAAGACAGGAGGGGTAGTTATTCTAATATCAGACAAAATAAACTTTAAATTGAAAACTGTTATAAGAGACAAAGGATGGTATACAATGATAATTCTTGATTTAACTCACCCAGAAGCTATGACAATTAGAAACATAAATATACCAAATAAACAAGCTGTAAAATATATAAAGCAAACATTGACAGAATTGAAAGGAGCAGTACACAACTCTACAATAGTAGTAGGAGACTTTAGTACTCCACTCTCAATAATGGATAGAACATCTGGTCAGAAGATCAATAAGGGAAGAAAGACTCAAATGACATTATAGACAAGTTGGACCTAACAGACGTATACAGAATTCTCCTTCCAACAATTTTAGATTGTTGAAATTACACATTTTTCTCAAGTGCACAGGGAACATTCTTCATGATAGGGCATATGTTAGGTTACAAAACATGTTAATAAATTTTAAAAGATTGAAATCTTATAGTTTCTTTTCCAAACACAATAGAATGAAATTAGAAATCAACAGCAGAAGAAACACTGGAAAATCCACAGATATGTTGAAATTAAACAACATGCTCTTAAACATCCAATGGTTTTAAAAAGAAATCACAAAAGAAATTAGAAAATTGAGAAAAAGGAAAAGGAAAACACAACATATTCAAACTTATTCAATGCAGTGAAAGCAGTGCTAATTTTATAGCTGTAAACACATTAAAAAAGAAGAAAGGTCTGAAATCAACTCTCCAACCTTATACCTTAAGGAGCTAGAAAAAGAACAAATTAAACCTAAGGCTACCAAAAAGAAGTAATAAAGATTAAAACAGAGATAAATGAATGAATGAATGAATGAATGAATGAATAAAACAGAGATAAATGAAATAGACTAAAAACAATAGAAAACAACAAAACCATGAGCTCTTTTTCAAAATGATCAACAAACTTGACAAACCTTTAGCTAGATTGACTAAGAGAAGACTGAAATAACTGAAATCAGAAGTGGAAAAGGAGATGTTACTATTGATGTAATAGAAAGGATTATAAGTACTATAAATGGTTGTACATCAGCAAATTGGATGATCCAGATGAAATGAACAAATTTGAAGAATCATATAACTTACCAAGACTGAAACATGAATAGAAAATATGAATAGACCAACAACTAGAAGATTGAGTCAGTAATTAAAAATGCCAACAAACAGAAACCCATGACCAGATGGCTTCACTGATGAATGCTACCAAGCATTTAAAAAAGAATTAATACCATTCTTCCCCAGGCTCTTACAAAAACTTGAACACTTCCTAGTTCATTCTGTGAGGCCAGCATTACCCTGATATCAAAGCTTTTATGGGATAGGCAGTGTTATCCTACCCATTTTACATGTGAGGAAGCTGAGGCACAACAAACTGAAGTAACTTCCTGAAGTTCACAGCCAATGATTTCAGGATCTGAATTCATGTGCTCTTACAGAGCCCACACTTTTAACCAGCTTCACACCACTGACAGCTATCAAGGAAAATAATCAAATGAAAGCCACAGAAAAATTTTCACTTTTTTTCTTTTGTCTTAACAACATATCAAGACCTAATATCTTATTTATCCTAGGGTACTGTGTTTTGGTATTCAGTTTAAATTAGTTGACAATAAAACTAAATGAACAACATTTCTCTTTTCCTCCCTGCCCTTCAATTGACTCTGGCAGGAGGAACCAAGAAGAGAAAGGAAGATTTTGACCTCCATACTGTATAACAGTTCCTCAGTATTTATTTTCATGGTAAAAAGACCATCACTTAACATATCCCTACTTAATGGACCCAGAAATTGATGAAGCGTAGGTCTAAAGTAACATGTTGTAAGGTTTTTGTCTGTAAAGAATATGTATTCTAACAGAATCTATCCTATTTACGAAACAATTGAGCACACACCCAAAAGACATTTCCTTAGATCCATTTAAAAAAATTTTTAAGACTCAAATCCACTGTGAGAAAGAAAGGGATTATGAGCCCCTCTATATCTAGCCTGCAGGATGAAAGTGAGAATGCAGTAATTTACCCTGGCTGTGCTGTGCCACAGGAGGCCCCATCCCCCTCTTCGGGTACAAGATGTGCAGAGCCCCAAGATACCCTCTAATAGTAAAGTCCTTTTCTATTGGGAGTACTGTACTGGGTGAAGGAGGCAGAGAGAGCATCAGATACAACAACATAGAGTGACTTTATAAGGTCAAAAATTTTCACCAAATTTTAAGTTTCAAACATCAGTACCCCCATTCCCCAAATTGTGACTGTAACAGGTATTTAGAAACAGGTGACCTCATTCAGAGCATCCAGTAAAGCCTTCACCTGAGAAAAGCTGCCAGGACTAGATCTATGGTTCACCAGTGGGGTGAATCAGTGCTAATTATTGTCCTAATTAGCACTATAGTCCCTGTCAAAATACCTGGGCTGCTGGTAGTCAACTGAGTGAATTCAGACAGAAATCTCTGTGAAATTAGGGCTGCAAATCTGCACTTCTGTAGGCTTGCCAGTTGATTAACTGTTCCCCTCCCCCATTTTAAACAGTGTCATTGAGGTATAATTAACATAGAACATATGCACATATGTTTCTTTTTAAGTTAAAATTTTAGTAATGTTCCTTTTTTTTTTTTTTTTTTTTTTTTTTTTTTTTTGTCCTAAAGCTACCTCCTGAACCTTGCTTCACTTGTTTTTTGTTGGCTTTTTTAAAAATCTTTTTACAGAGCATATAGGATTGGGCAATGCAGGGATGTGAAAGTGTTTAGGCTGATATCTTTGGGAACTGTGGAGGAGATCATGTACTTACGACAGGTATACAAGCAGGTAAATATATTTCCCTTTTCCAGATTAAGAAGTAAACATTTGTCTATATCAAAACTTCCAGAAATTTGTGTAAAAATGTTTTTAATTTCGTTTTAACTGTAATATGGAATTTAATAAGATTATGAAATATACTGTAGAATAAATCCTGTAAAACAGATTCTTACTTTCATTGAATTTTAGAGCTGAAATTTTCTTCGAGTAGTGCTTCTTGAGCTTTAATGTGTACATGAATTACTTAGGGATGTTCAAACTACAGATTGTAATTTAGTAGCTCTGGGTGGAGCCCAAGATTCAAATTTTTAACAAGCTCCCAGGAGTGCCAACACTACTGCAGACTATAATTTGAGTAGCAAGGTCACAGCTTCCCAGCCTGTGGGCCAAGACATAATGATATGCTACAGGCGGGACACAGGTGCACCGACACAATGATCACACAGCTCTCTGGACGGCAAGATTACCTAAACTGACTTCCAACCTTAAGAAACCTTTCCAGGTAGGTGTTCATATGTTACCCTTTTCCGTGTGTACCATGACATGAAGAAAACTGGGGGAAAATGCCTTAAAGATATCTAATGCAATCATCTCATGTTGTACATAATGAAACTGGGACCCAGGGATACCCCAGTAAATGGTATTATAGGAATACAACACAAGTGTATTAACTACTGTGCTGGTGCTTTTTTTAGTGTTCATCTGAAATTGCATTAACTCTTTAATATCCTTACGGTATTAATTACTTCACCATGTATATCTCTAAATAAAATTTATTTAGTTTATAATTGCTCACTTGAGAAGATCTGGAATGAGGCTCAAGTTTAATTATAAATGTTAAATTTGAATTACTCCCTATATATTCTGTTGGCATCTATTTAAGAGCAAACATCTGCCACATGTGGTGGTAGTTAACCTAAGAATGATCCAATCTTAAATTTATGCTATTTTCTTAATTCTAAAAATGGAATTGTACACAGCAGTTTTTGTTTTTTCTTAAAGCACTTAGCTCTATAAGAAACCTTTCATCTTTTTGTTCTTGGGTATAGCACAACTACTTGAACATTATTTTGTTCAGGTATATTTAACCAATCTTGGGAAAAAGTAGGACATTATTCTTTTCATCTTAGGAGTAGTTCTTTAGAATACTGTCTTGGACTTGTCACAGGTAAGAGTCTTTCTTCAATCATGTAGTAATTTTTCTCAGTCCCATTACTTTATATACATTTGCCTATTTATCTCACTCATTTATTGAAATAAGATGGCCTATTATATGTTACTAATAACAAAAAGGCTTCAGAAGATGAGGATAATGTCAGTTTTCAGAACTTTGTATGCTTTAGGTGCTTATTAAAATATTTTTTTAAGTGTGAGCCATTTAGGGAAGGTTCAGCCATACAACTTGGTAGGCACAAATAAAGATAATATGGCAGTTGTGTGTGGAAAAGGCAGTAGATGTGATTGAAAGACTGGCGTTTGAACCAAGTAGGGTCTGTCTTTGCAGATGTAATCAAGTTAAAATAAGGTCATACTGGATTAGGGTGGACCCTAATCCAGTGACTGATACCGTTATAAGAGGGAAATCTGGATACAGACCGACACAGAGGGAGAATGCCAGGTGATGAAGGAGGCAAGGATTGGAGTGGTGCAGCCACAAACCAAGAATGCCAAAGATTGGCAGCAACCACTAGACATTTGGAAGGGTCTTCACTTAGAACCTTCAGAGAGAGTGTGGTCCTGCCAGCATCTTGATTACAGACCTTTAGCCTCCACAACTGTGAAAGAATAAATTTCTATTGTTTTAAGCCACCCAGTTTGTGACATTTTGTTAAAGCAGTCTTAGGAAACCAATACAGTCTTAAAGGCAGATATTGTAAATTTAACTACATTTTTAATGTGAAACTTATGTATGACAGAGGAACAACAAGCCAAATTTAAAAAGTGTCTAGGAAGAAAGTTTCCACATATGATAAACAAAGGATTAGCATCTATAATACATAAAGAACTTCCACAAATCAATAAAAAGACTATAATTTTGCATTTTATTGAAGAAAAAACACAAATGGTTAACCCATATATGAAAAGATGCTTAACCACAGTTGTAATTTAGAAATATAAAATAATAATGTGTTACACATATTCTGCAAAGACTTAGTGAGGTTGTGTGTGAGTGTGTGTATGTGTTTAGGGAGGCAGGGAGATCGGTGATATTCATTATTGGTGAGGGTATTTGTACAGAGATACTCATATACTACTTTCGAGAATATAACTTGGTACACTGATTTTACAGGCTAATATCACAACATATTAAAACACATAGTACGTTCTCCCTATCTACCTTACAGAAATATTCTCACATATGCACAGTGAAAGATGACAAGGATTTATATTTGGTATTGTTAGTATTTGTTTAAAAAATGAAAAAAGAAACAGCCTTAATGTCCAATAATAACAATGGTAACATAAATTCTGATACACCCAATAGCAGAAAAAAAAAACTATAGAGCAGACATACTGATCTGGCAAGATCTCCAAGACATTTCTGAGTGAGATTAAAACAAAACAAAACAACACAACTTGCAGAACAAGTATATCAGTTATGTTGATGCATAAAGTTATCTCTGTATATGTATATAAATAGCTCTAACTGCACTGAAAAAGATCTAGAAAGATATACCTAAATATTACAGTGTTTCTAAGACTGATAAAGGATGATCTGTATTATTCAAAGGGAAATTTCACTTTGATGTTTTTGTTCGTATTTGTTGTGATAATGCATTCAGACATTTTATACTTTTAAAAAATAAAAACATCACTTACATAGCAACTGTCTTCATGTTTGGAGCATAATCTAAAGTTTGGCATTCAGAAATTCACCTTTCATTTTTACATGTGTACATGTATATATGAAAGGTGAATATATATGTGTGTGTGTATATATATATGTATATGTATATATATATGTAATTTAGAAATATATTTGTATTGGCAGAAGAAGTCCAAGAATACCACAAAGAACACCCAATTAACTTCACCCAAATTTCCCAGTTGTTAACATTTATCACGTTTGCTTTTCTCTTTCCCTCAGCCATGATCTTTATTTTTCTGAACCATTTGAGAGAAAGTTGCAGATTTATCACCTCTAAGTTCTCTAGTGTGTATTCCCTCCAAAGGACACTCTCCTGTTTAGATGTACATATAAAAATAGTTTTATGCATTCTAAACATTCAATTTTGTGTGTTGTTTTGCACTTGCTTTGTCCCATTACCCTCTCCAGAATGCAGTTATCCAAATCAAGAAATTAACATTGATACAACATTACCTTGTAAACCACAAAACTCATTCAGATTTCACTAACTTTCCTGGCAATTTCTTGTCTCCTTTTTCCTTTCTGGTTCAGGATCCAATCCAGGATCATGGTTACCAACTTTTTCTTTTCATGTCTGTTTAGTTTTCTTCAACTGGAGTAGTTAGTTACCCAAACCCCCTTTGTCTTTCATGACCTTCACAGTGTTAAAGAGTAAGGCCTTGGGGTGCCTGGGTGGCGCAGTCGGTTAGGCGTCCAACTTCAGCCAGGTCACGATCTCGCGGTCCGTGAGTTCGAGCCCCGCGTCAGGCTCTGGGCTGATGGCTCAGAGCCTGGAGCCTGTTTCTGATTCTGTGTCTCCCTCTCTCTCTGCCCCTCCCCCGTTCATGCTCTGTCTCTCTCTGTCCCAAAAATAAATAAACGTTGAAAAAAAAAAAAAGAGTAAGGCCTTTCCTTGTGTTAGCTCTCTTTTAAAATAGGTCCATTTGATGTTTCCTCATGTCCAGATTCAAGCCAGGAACCCCTGGCAAGAATAGTACAGAAATGACTCTATGTTCTTCTCATTGCGTTGGTCAGAAGGCACCTGGTGATGACCTGTCCCACCATTGGTGATGCTAACCTTGATCACCAGTTTTGTGCCTGCCAGCTTTCTTCACTGCAGAGTCACCATTTTTTCCCTTAGTAAGTATTTTATGGGGACATCCTCTGAGACTATGCCAATATCCTGTTCCTTGTCAAGCCCATACCCATCAGCCCTAGCATTCACTGATGAAACCCACCTGAATCAGCCACCACTGTGATGATTGCCAGATGGTGATTTTTTAATTTCCAGGATTCCTTCTTTATTTGTTGCTATTCTACCATAAAAAAGAGCTTGCCCTTCTTTTCTATTTATTTAATATATTTGGACTCAGGGGATATTAGTAATATTACTCTATATTAGTAATGGATTACATTACAATCTATTGAATATCACTGTGTATTTTGGTGTTCAAACTGTCTCAGTTTTGTCCAGTGAGAACCCCTTCAAGCTGGCCTCTGTGTCATTTGTCAAGCCTCCATCATTCATTATGCATGTCCTTATGGTGGTAGGCTGAGTAATGTTCTCCCAAAGATATCTACATCAAATCCACCTGGATTCTCTGGGTGGGCCAATGTAATTACTAAAGGGAGTGGGAGTATGCAGGAGGATCAGAGAAAGGAGAGAAGGAGATGTGACAGCAGAAGCAAGGGGTCATAGAGGATTATATGAAGATGCCATGCTACTGCCTTGAAGATGGAAGAAGGGGCCATGACTTTTTAACATGGGGAACACTACTTTTCTTTCTACCTCTTGCGTATCCTGAATGTTGTTAGGAAGAAATCCAAACATTTTGTATCCTTGAATGGGTTTTTCTTAAGCCAGAAACTAAGCTACATTTTCCAATTACTGACTTTTTTCCCTTCCCCTCTTTAATTCCAACCCTATTTTTTATAACAGCCTACAGATGGATGTATCTGACCTTCACTTTTAGGGGAGCCACTTTGAAAAACTTCTTTTGAGTATAAAACAATGTGCCTTTTATAAATTTTGCAATAAAGTAGGGAACTTCTAAAGATTCAGATTAATGCTTACAAATTGGTGATTACATTAAGTAGTTGCAGTGTGACAATACAGTGTTTAAGAAAGAGTCAGGAGCAAAGAGTGAAATCATCTGGACTATCAGGTACATCAGTTGCTATTGTTGTGATTCCATATTTCCTGGACTATAGTCCATGTTTCTGGGGCATTGAAACCAACTGATCAACTTGGATATTGATTCAAAGCTTCCTCAAACTAAGGTCCCAAGGATCTTGTTTTATTTTTATTATTTTTTAATGTTTATTTTTGTGAGAGAGAGAGAACACATGTGTGCATGCATGTGAGCAGGGGAGGCACAGAGAGAGAGGACAGAGGATCTGAAGTGGGCTATGTGCTGACAGCAGAGAATCTGATGTGGGGCTTGAACCCATAAAACTGTGAGATCATGACTTGAGCCAAAGCCAGATACTCAACTGACTGAGCTACCCAGGTGCCCCTCAAGGGTCTTGTTTTATTTTATTTTATTT